TAGTTATTTTCTCCAAGATAAAGTAGAATTTTTTCAATAGCCATAGTTTGGTCTTCTGATATGGATAGCCAAGAGATAGATACTATGCCAGCCAGATTATCTCAACCAACTAGCTCACGAAGGCGACCCCGAGATGAAGAACTACCTACACTACGACGACGACGGAGGATACCGAGTAATCAATCATTGGTGATTGTATTTGAGTTTGAGCCTCCTTACGATGGTCAGCCAGAAGGCATGTTTGCAGGACAATTTCACAATGAGGATACGGAAGTTCATGCTTGGTCAGAAGTCGAAGGCATGGGCCACTATAGTTGGCTTTAAGGGCCAATGAACCACTTGCCTCGTGAAAAAACAGTTGGAATTCATAGCAGATGTTATGTGACAGATCTTCATTTTCTTACGTTGGTATTGATTAACAATAACATTGCTTCTCAGAGATCTCGAAGCTAAAGGAGGGGGTGATGTTAGGGACATAGTCCTTAGAACCTTTTAGAGACAAGTTTCTAGAACCTTCTAGAAGCAAGTCTCTGGAACCTACTAGAAGCTTCTTAGCTGGTAGAAGATGTTAGGGACATAGTCCTTAGAACCTTTTAGAGACAAGTTTCTAGAACCTTCTAGAAGCAAGTCTTTGGAATCTCCTAGAAGCTTCCTAGTTAGTAGAAGTTGCTTGAGAAGCTTTCTAAATAGGAGTATATATTGGAATCAAGGCTGAAGAGTTCTTCAGTCTCGATAATACATCTCTTGGAGCTCTAGCTCACCTCTCTGGTGTTGTTCTTGTATTTATCTGATTAATCTAGTTCTTGCCAGTTCTTCATGAACTTCTTGTTAGATCTCAAGTCTGTATTTATGTGTCCGTGACAATGAGTTAGAAAGATTTGTTAAATACATCAAAAGTGAAGACAAACAAGTTGTCTACTTAGGAGATGATACTACATCATACATAATAGAAGGACATGGTGATGTAAATATCAAACTTACAAATGGTGATGCGAAGTTCATATTTGATGTATTATATCTACTAAGACTTGCAAAGAATTTATTCTTTGCTAAAAAATTAGATAAGACAAGAGGATAAATTTGCATAAGAATTAGCACCACTATACTTATAAATAAATTTGGTCAAACCATTGCAATATGCAAATTAAACCTTAATTTATATGAATTAGGTACAACAATAATTTTAAACAAGCCTCAAATTTCTATGCCAGCAACAACACAGTTAAATAAAGTTGATTTATGGCACCTAAGTTTAAGACACATAAATCCTCAAAGACTCAAACAAATACAAACCATGGCAAAGGGGATTGATTCCTTTGATGAAAGAAAAATTACCTTATGCCAACCGCATACAAAAAGTAAACAACATAAGAAAAAGTTTCCTACACAAGGTACACAAAGAACTATTCAATTATTAGAACTTGTACATTTTGACATTTGTGGTCCTATGCAAGTAGGCACACATTCAGGATGTAGTTACTTCATCACATTTATTGATGATCTAACAAGATATTGCCAAGTATATTTGATGAAACAGAAATCTAAAGTATTTGAAAAATTCACCTTATACAAAAATTTTGTAGAAAAAAAAAAATGAAGTTTCAAAATCAAAATCTTAACATCTGATCATGGAGGTGAATATACATCCAATGACTTTAAAAAAATTTGTAACAAAGAAGGAATTAAATAAGAATATACTATAGCTTATATACCATAATAAAATAGTATTTTTGAAAAAAAATAGAATATTAATAGTAACAATACTTGTAATGCTATCCTATTCAAATTTACCTAAATTATTTTAAAGTAAAGTACTCCAAAAAGAAAATTACCTCCAAAATAAGAACCCTATAAAATCTGTACAAGTTACCAAAATACCATTTGAATTATGGTACAAACAACAAACAAATTTATCCTATCTTAAAATATTTGGTTGCAAAGTTCATGTATTCATTCCTAAAAAAAAAAAAAAAAAAAAAAAAAAAATTAGACTCTCATTCATAAGAGGCTATCTTTCTAGGCTATAGTGGAGAATCTAAAGCCTATAGACTTATGAATATTCAAAATCAACAAATTTTCATTTCAAGTAATGTTCTTTTCAATGAGAATCTACATGATCTACAAACAACCACATACTTGCAAAAGGACAATGAAGAACTCTTACTAGATTTAGAATTATTCAAACATCCTTCAATAACTATAATGACCAATGAACAAAACATACATCCTATTGAAGGCATGTCTTCTCCATCAATGCTACCACTACAAGAAACACATGTATTTGATTACCAACCAATACATAGTACTTCTTCAAATGTGGGAACAACCTCCTTGTCACATTGATGTCATGGAAGACTTCTTTCAACTATCATTACTAAATAATCAAGAGATCTTATCTCTTGAAGATGTTGAAGTCCATTCTATATTGCAAATCTCAAATCTTCTTTCTCGTTCTCAACCAACAAGAATTATTCAACCAACTACAAGATTGTTAGAATCTATATAAGGCAAAAAAGAATATAAACGACAATATAATCGATATTACCAATCCCACCTTTTCTCTATTCTTATAGAAGCTCCAAACTCCATTCAAAAAGCAATAGAGAGGATTGATGCTCAAGAATGGCAAAAATCAATCAATGCTGAAATTACATCCTTAAACAAAAAAAATACATTGCACATGACGAATTTACCTCTTAATAAAAAACCTATCAATTCAAAGTGGATTTTAAAAATAAAAACTAAAGCTGATGGAAGTATTCACAAATATTAAGCAAGGGTAGTTGTAAGAGGTTTCAACCAATTTCAAGGTATTGATTATATGGAGACATACTCTCGTATAGTCAAACTTAATTCTATCAAAGTTCTTTTTGCTTTAATCACTCAACATAATCTGGAAATACATCAATTAGATGTTAAAAAAATATTTTTAAATGGATTTATAGAAGAAGATATCTATATGACTATTCTTGAACAATTATCTTCTATACATACTAACAAGGTATGTAAGTTAAATAAATCCCTATATGGTCTTAAGCAATCATCTAGAATATGGTATCAATAATTATATCAATACTTAATCCTTCACAAATACCACCACCTCAAATCAGATGTAAACATATACATCAAAAGAGAAAATAATAAGGATTTTATTATAATTATAGTTTATGTTGATGACTGTATTTTTATCAGCAACAAGCTTCTTTTAATTTAACAAGTCAAAGACATTCTCTAGCAAGAATTTGACATGTCCGATGAAGGAGAAATCCATTACACTTTAGATAATGCTATACAAAGAAATAGAATGGCATGATGGATCATCTTCTATCAAGCCAAATACTTAACAAATAAACTTAATGAATTCAATATGTTGAATTTCAATCTATTAAGTATTCCAATTAAGCTAGGAATTTGTTTAAGTAATGAAGACTATATTACTTTCCATGATTATCCTTATTATCAAATTATTGGTAATTTAATACATGCTATTGTTAATTTTAGACTTGATTATGCTTATACTCTCAGTAGTTTAGCACAATATCTCTCTAAACGAGGACATATATATGTTCAAACTTTGAAAAGAACTATGAAATATACAAAAGGCATATTAAACTTTAGAATAAAATATCAACACTTACCTCAAGGTGATATTTTCTATGGTTATTTTGATGCTGATTGAGCACGTAATAAGAACATCTGTTGCTCTACCTCTAGATTTTGCTTCTTATTGGTTAGAAGAGTTATTTCTTGGAGCAACAAGAAATAACAATTTGTTGCTTTATCTTCTATAGAATCAAGATACATGGCTTTAACAAAAGCAACTACTGAGGCCATATGGTTGAGAAAATTATTACATGAACTTGGATTTCCTTAACATGCACCAACTACCATATATTTAGATAGTCAAAGTGCCATTGCTCTTAGTGAAAATCCCAAATATCACTCTAGGAGCAAATATGTGGACACACAATATCATTTCATTAAAGAGAAGATCATTTCTAAGGAAATCCAACTGCAATATGTGTCAACCACACATATGACAGAAGATTTATTTACAAAATATCTTCTTAAAAAGAAATATTTACAATCCCTATCACAATTAGGCATGTATCAACTTCCTCTAAATACAAAACAAGCAAACTGTTCTACAATCATTCAAGCATTACTAGTCTCCTCCAAACAATACAATTTTATACAACATAAATATTTTGATACATCATAGAATGGGAGACAATCTATTATAGGATCCATTGTAGGGCCAACTACAGGACCTATCGTAGAGCCAACTACAAATCCACCATATGGCCAGTTGTAGAGTCTACTATCACACCAACTATAAGACCCACTATGGAGCTCGTTGCCTTGCTTATTGTAGATCCCACCGATGGGCTTACTACACAACTTCTTGTCAAGGCGATTGCATCTATGGTCGACTCTATCTAGATGCATCCTTAGGAACTCACAGTTGTGCCTACATTCACAACGCATCTTCCAACAATAGAACAATCAAGAAACAACAAAAAAGAAAACAAGAAATGTGTGAACAACAAACAAGAAGCAACAAGCAAATATAAGTCAATAAAAAAACACATACCTTCTCGGATTTGAAGAAGTAGTGGGAGATCTATGAAAGAACTTTCCAACAATGCAACATCAAAAAAGAGATCGAAATCCTATATTTCTTACACATATCCGTTTTCAAAATGGATGAACTTTTGTTATAGATGAAATTCAATTTGAGGATGAAGATTAGTGTACTAGTGGGAGTATTGGGAGAATTATATTGTATATTATATTAGTCTCTTGTATAGAATACTATCTACTCTATATTGACCTTATACCAAGAGTTGTGACTCTTGGTGTCCTTGTACACACACTATATTGTGTATCAATTGATCATATTAATAATAATATTGTTTCCAGCAGAATCGCTAGGATTTCTTGATGAATTCTGATATCCTTGCCGCACCTGATGACTCTGGTATCAGTCTTACTCTCACTTCCCCACTTTTCTTTTGGGTCTGCAGTTTGTAGCTCTTGACATTACCGAGGACCTGGAGGTGGGGGCTGAGGCTGTGAAGGACCACAGAGAGCTGGTGCCTTGTGAGAGAGTGTGGGTATACTGTCTTTGAAGTTTGTGTGATGGTTTTGTGGCCTCGTGTGGGGACCGACGTATTGAGTTGTTTGGGTGTTGTTGCAGATGAGTTTGAGTTTCTTAGCAAGCGGAGTGTGAGAGGCGAGTTTCGGTTGTTGTGTCATGATGCAGAGGCTTGCGAAGTTCGCGCAGGCTCAGGGAGGACTCTGTCAGGGAGTGTTCTTCAGCATGTTCGGGTGGGGGGATCGGCATTGGGTTTTGGCATCCAGACGCGGAGGGAATCGGGACAGATTGAGACTAGGGAGAGCTTGGTGGAGCACAGGTTTGAGAGCACCACAATTGCCGATGTCCTGAAGGACAAGGGTCAAAAGGCCGATGGTTCCTGGTTGTGGTGCAGTGTGGAAGATACAGTATACGATGCCGTCAAGTCGGTGAGCCGTTCTTGAGTTACTGGTCTCTGCGCAAGAGCGTGGCGTCAATTCCCTCCGAAACTCCAATTTGTCAATACCGTTTTCTAAGAGTTCCATCATCTGTCCAGTCAGAGGCATTTGAATATCAACTCTTTGAGTTCATCTGCTAAAGTGACATTCCTGGCATTTGGGTGGTATCTTAGATGACTGCAAACAATGTGGAGGCATTGCTGGTGGTGAAGTCGGGCACGGAGAAAATGCTTGCTGGAATCATTACTGAGAGAGGTCTGTCAAGCCCGCAACCTTTCTTGCAGCGACAATTAGCAATGTATGCATTGATCAGTTTAATGAAGTCGAGGCATGAGCTGGGTGTTGGTCGAATGTAAGACCAATTATTTAACTTTAATTTAGTTTCCCCTAGGTTGCATATCTTTCCGCCAGGTTGCTGAGCCAACTCCATCATCAGGCACTCATTGCACTTTACCAATGTGCAACATCTCTTCTTTTACGCCAGTCAAAACCTCGCGAAATTTGGTCACGTTCGATCAAAGGGTGAAGCTGATGGAAATGATTGTACTATATTATGATGATCCATATCTCCTTTTTATGCAGAACAAGCTCATAACTGTGAGTCCGGATACTAAAGTGCTGCGTGCCATGGAGCTGATGACCGGTAGGCATCCATCAGTTTTGTGATGTTCGACATGTTCTTGTCATGTTGTGCTTGTGCTTTGCACGGCTTGAGTGGCTCTTTCTCGACTAGAAAGTACTGGCTACTGTGAATGCTGAGGTAACGGATTTATAGAGGGATTTCCCGGTTGGGCATTCACGGTTAGAAAAAAAAAAAAATGTTTCTTCTGCAGACTAAAGTCTACATTTGTATATTCAGATTGTGTGTTTAAAATACAGAAGATGACTAGATTTTTCTGCAGAAATTAATTAACTGTTTTCTTTTCAATCCTTGACCTGCGTTAGGCTCCGAATGCTCGGTTCATTTACCTAGGAATTTTCCGTGTGTGGATTTCCTCTGAGCCTGCGCAGATAACCGGATTCGGCACATTCCAGTAGTGGAGGATAAGAAAATGAAGGGTATGGTGTCTATTGGTGACGTGGTTCGCGCAGTATTGGACGAGCACCGCGAGGAGCTTCAGAGCCTGAACTCTTACATTCAGGGCGGCTATTAGAAATCGCTACTATGGTGTCCTTCCTAAAACCTATGCAATGGCGAGGGGTTTCGTACACCCAGTTATTAGAAGTCAACCGAGCTCCGACAAGAAACGATGCCCAGGCTAGAGAAACATGAGTAGCAACGTACTAAGCCAGAAAAAAAAAAAAAAAAAAAAAAAAAAAAAACTTATCGGCGAATGTTCAGAACGTAGAGCAACTGGAAGACCTAAATTGGGTTGAATGTAGTTACGTGGTTCATGTTTCCTGGTAGTGAAGCGGTTTGTCTTCTGGTCAGTGATGCTTAAGCTCTGTTACGATGGGTGTAACAATTGATGCACAAGATCTTTAATTTTGTCTTGTGCAATGAATGAGTTATGGGATATTAATGCTTTTTTAGGTCAAAATGTCAGAAAATTTTGCTTAGGCAATTTCAGGCTGGCCATGCTATCGAGTTCATCACATTACGAAGCTTAAAATCTTCGTTTCGTGTCGACTTGAAATTTCCTGATTCCGTGCACCACTGATGGAATGCTCAGATTGATCGCAACAGAGATTCGAGAGAAATCTTTGTAAATTGGCAGGGAACAATCCTGTTTGATCACCTGTTATCAAATGTGAGATTAATGGGGCCTACAGAATTTTCGTTCATCAGAAAGATGCTTTTAAAGGTAAGTGGGCAGACACGCAACGACAACAGTATTCAACGTGAAAGTTTTCCTAATTGTATTAAATACGAACCTGAATACGTATTTTCACCTCGGCACACGGATACTGTATACATGACTGCCGCTGTGGTTCCTTGACGATTATGAATGTGCCTTGTGTAGTTGCCGATACGCGAAACTGTTGGTGGGGGACCGCGATGCTTCTACGCTGAGTTGCAGTCTCGAAGGTCATCGGTTTCGGGGCAAAACCACGAAGTTGGTTGCTTCAAGCAGCTCAAGTGTACTTTAGGTTTCGGTGCTCTTGAGCATGATTGGTTGTTACATCTTTTACTCCAAGTGGGTTGTCAGACTTGAATGCGCGTTGGCCTTCAGATAGTGAACTCCTCGTCGCTTTTATCACCCTTCTTCAGATGTGCTTGCATCACATTTTATCTTACTACTGGCGTGCGCAGATCTTTCTGATGGAGGGAGAATACCATCTCTGTCTGGGAAATGGCAATCCAATCGTCCTGTTTGGCTAACCTTTGACGGAGAACTGTTGCGTGTTAGACCTTAGGGTTCAGGAGCTATGTGAGGAAAATATGCGGTGAAGATCTGGATTGTCATGATTGGTGCCGAGAGCTGAGGAATGGGGTTGACGATTTGCCAGGAACAGTTCAATGCTTGCGTCGACTGATTTTCGTGGAAGGGTGAGGGAGGAAGGGACATTCATTTCTTTTTAGGGTTTGGCGGTATGGCTTGCAGGGAGAGCAATGCTAGTGCGGCGAAGCTGAGCTAACTTGTGTTTGGGTTTGTGTCGAGTTGGTAATCTTTGAGGGTGTCGGAGAGTGAGAGAATGAACACGAACGGGAAATCGCCTGCGCCAAGTGCGGTGCAACAGTGTGATGGATGGAGGGCGTGACTCTGATTTAGAGTCAGGTTTATACTCTCGTAGATTACGCAAGAAGCGATCACTCACGTTCCTTCAGAAGATGAAGATGTTGCCGTCGATTGCAGCCAAGCGTTATCACAAGCTCCCGGCGTCCTTTGTGGTCTCTGTCTCTCTTTGCGTGAGTGCCCTCCTGTTCGTGTCTGTTTTTATGTACATTCAAGCTTTCGGTACCCAGTTTTCGAGTGCTAGAGCAAACAGCCAGCTATTCGCCGAGCACAACTCATCCTACACAAATCTCCGTAGTCTTGTGATGGTCGCCGGGCATGCAGTGTACACGAGCTCGAAATGCGGCAAACCCGAAGATGAAGACTCTTGGTTTCTGGAGCCCTATCAGAAGCATCCTGGCCAGGCAAGCACATTCGTGGAACACATCAAGTTGGGCGTAGAAGTCACCTCTCAATTTGAAGATTCATTGCTCCTCTTCAGCGGAGGCGAGACGCGCAAGAATGCGGGACCCAAAAGCGAAGGCCAGAGCTACTGGAACGTTGCGGAATCCAAGGACTGGTTTGGCCACAACGAGAGCGTGCGATGGCGTACTCTTACAGAAGAGTTCGCTCGCGATAGCTTTGAGAATCTTCTGTTTAGCATGTGCCGATTCAGGGAATTGACGGGGCACTATCCCGTGAATATCACCGTGGTCAGCTACGACTTCAAGCAGCGGAGGTTCACCGACTTCCATCGCCGTGCGCTGCGGTTCCCAGAGTCGCGATTCACTTTCCTCGGTGTCCCTTTAACGCCTGAATCGCAGGAGGCAGCCATTAAGGGGGAGGAGAAAGTACTGGAAATGTTTCAGGAAGATCCGTATGGCTGCAAAGGAGAGTTGTGGAAGAAGAGAATCTTTCGGGACCCATTTGTTCGCTCTGTCCCTTACCCTACAGGATGTTCGGAATTACGAGGTCTATTCAGCTATTGTGGACCAGATTACTACATGGGCAGCCTTCCTTGGATATCCTGACCACGGGTTTGGAGTTAGGAATGCAAGTTATCACTGTTATTTCTTCTTCATCTCCCTCCGATGATACTTATATCACTGCACCAATTTGCCTATGTCGTTTCTATCTACACGGACTTCTCCCTTACAGACAGCCACCCTTGAGCAAGAAATCTTGAAGGATGGAGCTAATGTCAACAGCCAAACATTCATCAGGGCTTGTTTCATGGTTGTTCTCTCCGTCACCGCTAGCACCACCAGTTTATTACTACAATTTTTTATGTCAAGGAAACCAGGATGAGATGCCAGATCTTGAATTGGACACCTTATAACCTTGTCCAATCTTCTTTCTCGAATATTCAATGCTGAAAACAAGCTGATTTCTATTATGTATGGTAAGAATGCTAGCAGTTGCCTTCTGAGCACTGGTTCAGTGTCTTTATACTGCGACGTTCAGTGAAGTATTATTTATTCAATTTGACTGCATCATATATTTTAGCAATAATGCTAGGGGCTCCTCTGCGATGCTCAATACTTGCTCTATATCAGCGTACTTCATTTACCATTTTAGTATCCTTGCTGAGCACCTGCTTTGTTGCACATCAATTCGGTAAGTTCTTAGTCCCTTAGTGCTTGTTCCATATAATGAATTTCTCTCTTCCTGTGTGTTTGTCTCTCCATTCCACCACAATTTAGCGTGTAGTAATCAAACTTCAATAACTGCGTTTTATGACAGCGAAGAAGGAAAAGTGTACTCATTTTCACTCGCTCACCAATGTGTCGGTCATACTACGGAACTATGTCGAAGGTCACTGTCAACCGGGTCCGCCAAGGAAGCACGCATTGTATGTAATCAGACTTAATCGTAATTGTTACCAACTTTGCAAGCTGTCCGCTTTCAGACTGTATCACAGCTATGTAGTATTTCTTCACTTATCCCAAAATGTATTCTTGCAAAGAAACAAGGTAGATAGTAGTGCGGGTTGATTTTTGACTAGTTTTCTTAGATGGTACTGATGGATGTAATTGTCAATCGCTCATGTGCACGATCGCCGAAACTATCCTGGTTGCTGACAGTAGTAACCTCTGTTGACGCTTTGCATCGTTAACCTTGAATCAGATCTGCTACTTTGCTGATAAATTTAACCCCACTTCAAATTGAAAGTTGACTCTTCTTCATACATCATGCACAGTAAGTTTTCACAAATCCAGTTCGCACTTGGTCAAACAACTAGTTGCAAGTTGGCATTGTCTGTTGAATATGACACTTTCCTGCTGTGCTTAGCTGTCTTGGTTTCATTTCATTGTGTTCTGTGGTTGATGACTTCATCTCTATACATCTTCCATACAGGTGTGTGCTATCAGGTACGCTTGAGGACACTGGTAACTTGGCTATATGCTACACAATGACTAGTTTTTTTTATACGTTAAACCAATACAACTTGAAGCAGCAGAATAATACCAATTCTCGGAAGCAGACTTGAGTATTCATGTTTGTGTTGGATGTGTTGGCTTACTCAGATCCTTGGAATCTGTAGCACTTGGGAATTGTATCAACTTGTGTGATATGCTTGCAAAAATACTGTACGTTTGTGTTGTGTATTAGTGTATGTATAAAAAGAACACACCCTTTCAGTACATGTGCAGCTATGTAGAAGAATGAAGGCAATACTAAGATAATGTGTATGTAAAACTGTATTGATTCTCGTCTAGTGTTAAAGCATAAAACAATAAAACAATAAAAAAAGGAAAAACAACAACAAATGTGGAATTTTGTGAATTTCCCCTTTCCCATACCCCCACTCCGGTCCCCACCCCGTGCCCACTCTCCCTGATCCAACTCAATCCCCTTGTTTTCCCCTTTCCCTGTGGTCATAGCAATGCCAAAAAATAATGATATATGTATGTGTGTTTAAGTATATGTAAATATACATTTTTAATTGTTTTTATTGGAAGTAAACATTGACTTATGCAATATAAAATAGAAGTGCTTTTGATTTTGTTGAGGCTAAGATCATTTCTGTCACTATTTATTCAATTAGAATCATTCATTATGAGTAATTGTTTGAAGTTTATTAACTTTATTATGGATGATTTTTTTTTTAATCTCTATGTGACTAATTACTTACAATAATTAATTTTTAATAATTTAAAAATTACTATTGAGTTTTGGTGTGCGTATATGGTGGGATTTTGAAAAAAAATCACTAAATGCTTTACTTCAAAGGTCTGTGCATAATAGAGATTTTTAAAGTACATGCTGATTCCAAAATCATTTTGATTAAAATAAATGTATTAAATAAATAAAACTGATTTTTTTTTTCTAACCTTATATAATATAGTTAAGATTTAAAAGTAAAAAAATAAAAAATAATGATATATACATTGCAATGAAAAAAAAAGATCATGGACAGCATTTGATATTAATTTTTGGCAATGCTATGATCAAAGAGAGAAGAAAAAATAAGGAGACGGGATGGAAAAAAATAGGGTTGGATTGGAGAGAGTGGGTATGGAGTTGAGACAAGGCTGAGGTGGTGAGATTGGGGTATAGGAATGGAGATGTGGGATGGGAATGGGACAGAAGACATGGAACTTGTACAAAATCAAATCATGAATTGGAAAAAAGAGTGTGGCTTTAAAAACTGCCTAAATTTATTGATATAGCATAAGTATAGTTTGAAATATGTGAACTTTACAAATATTTTAAGAGAATGTAAATGTCATGTATATACTATACACAAAACCAAACAAGAAGTTGAATGGAAGAGTTTTAATAAGAAAACTAACAAGAACTTAATTAAATCAAATAAATACAAGATCAATATAAAAAGAGGTGAATTAGAGCTACAAGCAATGTATTGTCAAGACAAAGGATCTCCTCAACCTTAATTTCAATATATACTAAGTATTAAAAAGCTTCTTGAGAAGTTTTCACGTTGCTTGAAGATGAAGCAATCCTAAGAAGCTTCTTAGATAACTTTCTTAATTCTCTTAAAACTTTTTAGAATCTATTCAAATATCCTATAAATAATCTAAATTTTAAAAAAATATTTTAAGAATTTTTTATAATCTTATAGAATCTTATAAAATCTAATAAAATATTCTAAAAATATTTTTATAAACTTCTTCTTTGACGCTATAACATCACTTCTCTTTCTAATTTTGAATTCTACAAAGAGCATTAGTTTCATATCTACTTTCTTTGTTATATACAACATCCTAACAATAGCTTTATAGAAAAGTTATGCTAAAATAAGTTTAGGTTTTTTGAAGATAACAACAATGAAATTCATGTATCTTTTGCAATGCATTAATTAGATTTTTTGCTAGTTCTCATATATGCTCATTGATATCATAGCTGCACCAATGAATAAAATACTCCAACTTACCTCTTCTTCATAAAGAATCAAGGATCTTTTCCACCTCATATTCTACATGATTATCTATTTCAATGTAAGGTAGTGATTGTTGTATTCTACCTACAATAATTGATCCTAAATAAGCCTTTAAGAGAAAGATATAAAAGATTGGATGTACCTTCATAGATATATATAATTCCAATTAATAAGCTATAGGATTGATTTACTTTTAATCTTTAATAATCCAACTTATTGCAAGATCAATTAATCTTGATATTTTATTGAAGAAGCCATATTTTATCTCCAACTTAAAAAGTAAGAGATTCTTTTTAAAATTTATTTAAAGATGCTTGATAAGAATCTTAAATTGCTAATAAATAGAGCTTTAAAATTATTTTAAGTTGTAAAAATTATTTTACAAGTTCTTTAGCTGTTTGATTTTTATCCTTTGATATATTTAAAAAATAGCACTTCAAATAGTAATCATAATTGGAATAAAATGATGTTTTCTAAATTGAATTATGAAGAATATTATTGTAAGCAAACTTTGCTAAAGATAAATATATGGTCTAATCATCTTGTTGATAGTTGATGCTACATTGTAAAGATTGCTCTAAAACTTGATTGACTTATTTTATTTGACTATCTGTTTGAAGGTGGTATCATAGATATGAACATTAAAGAACTAAAAATATCAATATACTCTTAAGTCACTCAAAAAGACTAAAAAATCACTTTAAAATGATATAATATTAAATTAGAATGGCTATTTTTATAAACAAGAAGATTAGAAAGTCTTGAAACAAGACTAAAGACTAAAAAGGCATTGACAAGAATGAAGAAGCCTTCACTCTTGCCTCTATATATAGTCTCAAACTAGGAGCTATATAACAATCTTTTGTAGGATCTCTAACATGTATTGACTTTGCTAAATACATGTCTTAACTTGTAAGACAAGTTATCTATAAATACACCATATAGTTACCTTGTTCCACAAACTACCAACATGTGTGGTATGTGGTTAAGTTATTGATTAAGTTTCTAACCTATCAATCAACTACAAACATGTATAAAGTCAAAATCATATCTATGAAGCTTTTAAGAAGCTTCCATAAAAGATATTATAATATTAATCTATATTTGTTTTCTCCAAATTTGACAAATTCAAGCGGCATGGTTATTCTTCTACTTAATGGGAGTCTTTTTAATGCAATGGTAGCACCGGATTTACCTCGTGGAGTGAAGAAAACAAGATCAGCAACCTCTCCTTTAAAATACAAGAGAAGCAATGAAATTCTCATTTTGAAGAATTTCACAAAAATTTCCAAGATCCTTGTAAGTATAAACTTCCATGAAAATTATAATTGAGCATGGATTGAAGTATGTGAGTAGTCGATCTTACCTTAAGAAGGTTTTTTGAACACAATAGTGAAATTAGATTTACAAAAAAATGCTTTCTTGACCACTTACAAGAGCCATCAGCCCTGATAACGAGATTGGCTCTTAGATGAATGAAGGCCATAGATCTAGATTAGGGATCTTAAAATCAAGGGTAGAGATTTAGCCACCCTTCTACGAGCCTCCACTCAATTGTATAAGAGAGGCTTGGTTTTACAAGCCTTCTCTCTCTCCTCTTTTGGGTGAAGGGCGGAGCCATGCCAAAATTTGGCCAAAATCCTAATCTTAATTTTATTTAGATTTTAATTCTCATTGTGAACCTTGTGATTGTATATTTATGGATTTTCATTGTGAAGGATGGTCATTAAGTTTTAAAATATGTTTCATTGAGGTAGATATCTCCTCGGCCTTTCAAATACCCCAAGGGTTTCAAGGGCCTTGGATTTTCTTCAATCAGTCACTCAATTTCTTTTGTTTCAATGTGAGATTCTAAATAGTTGTATCTTTTAATGTTAGCTTTCCGAAAAATTAAGACTTGCTTGATTTGGAGTAAGAAGGAAGTTTTGGAGAATTTTTGAGTTTAAAGGAGTCGACTGCCTTTGCAGTTTGAATCAATCGAGTTTGGAAAGGCATTTCTCAGTGCTTGATGATTGGCTTTATTTGAAATTTTGGAAGCATAAAGCTTTATAAGCTAAGCTCTGAAAGGCATAAGTTTTGTTGAATTTGAAGACAATCTGAAGTTTTAGTGAGTTTCTAAGTGAAGAGGGTTGGTCACCATGGCAG